GGTGGAAAAGTTGAGGAATGTACTTGATGCAATCTCATCAGTCCTACGAAGAAAAATTAGTGTTCAGCACTAAGTGGAACAGTTAGGTAGCTACTGAATATTGGTCTGGCAAAGTTAGAAAAGCTAGAAAAGAGGCCAAAAGATGGGTTTTCAAAAGGCAGGGGCCAAAACAAAGCCACCAACAAATCACTTACTGGATTTTTAGAGAATCTGTTATCCTTCATGGGAACATCATGAACTTTGAAAATCCCATTTTTGTCCATCCTTGGAAGGAGTAATACAAGTTGCTCAGTGCACAGTGGTAGGTATTTTTACCTTTTCACACTGCAGTCAGGTGGGGATCTATCCACAGTTTGTTCTCCTAAATCTGTGCTGCTATTTGTGTGGCTTCAGCAAGCTAACGTTGATGTGATTCATGAAGCAAACAGTTAATTTCTGCTGATACCTCTCTGTTCCTACCTCACGGGCAGATGTTGTAACCATTCTTACTCTTCGTCTTCCTTCATGACCTCTGCCTCTCTGTAAGTGTATGATGACCTCTTAGTCAAAATGTTGAATAAACAGGCAGTATCACTGGTGAGCAAAGTTCTTGGGTGGAGCGTATGTTGCAGTGAAATTGAGGGGAGGTGAGGCAATCATACACACTTTTTTTTTTTTAATATGTATATATATGTGTGTGTGTATAGTCTCTGGGGAAAGGTTAACAAAACTGCTTTATAACAACAGAAAGTATCACAGGAACTTCTTTGGGTGAATCTTTGCTTTGTTTTCCTGAGCAAGTTCTTTGAAGAAGCCTCTAGTGATGATAAATGTCCTGCTGTTTGTCCCTAACTACATTGGCTGTTGTTTTCCTCCTTCTGCCTGTCTTTGTGGGTCAGCCACTGTGTCCTTCCTTGGATCTACACATAATTCCATTAACATGAGGGTGTATGTGTTTTCTAAGTTCCAGTTAAAGACAAGATATGTACAGGTTTACTGCTGCTCAGTGTTCTCCCTCCAGTATGAGGTGAAGCTCTAAAACTCAAGTTCCTGATTTTTTTCATTTGTTGTTTTTTAGATAGTCAGGTCAGGAGAGCAGTCTTTCATTTTTCAGTCGATGAAAAAATTACATTGGTGCTGCAAATTGGCAAGATGAGTTGTGCAGTGAACAGTTTCCCTTATTTCTCTGTTGAGGACCCGTACCTTATTTAAACTAACCCTAGTGAGCAGAGTGCTCAGTGCTTAACGTTGTTTAAAAGAGTTTTCTGAAATTAGTGTTTCTAGATTTTGCTTTTCCACCGTAATACCCTTGACCTTTCCATAGTGATGTGGTCGTTTACACTCCCTGAATTTGAATTAACCCAGTGGCATTTGTTTTCCCCACAGAAATCGGAGGTAAGAGGTAAGTACCATGGGTCAGTTTGGCTTCCCTGACCTTGTAGATGATAAACTAAATGGAGATTATCTAAGCATAATCTGTGGATGTGTTGTGATTTTTGAAGAAGTAAAGACCATTTGAGGCAAAGTCACGAGTCTGGCAAAATTCCCAGTCTTTGTGTAAGGCTACTTCACGGGTTTGTTATGTTCTAGGGTGGATAGGTCAGAACAGTAGTTATATAAGGTATTTTTTGGTTAGTTGAGCTGAAACGATAAAATCTGATACTTCCTTCTGCTTTTGTTGTTGGCATTTGGGCTTTGGAGCATTGTGTTTTTGTTCCCAGGAATTTCAAACCCAGAGAGTTCGAACAAAATGATTCCACTTAGTTGTAAAGAAGAAAGGATTGAACTGAATCTTGTTTTAATGGAAAATCTGCAGAGATTTTGATGCGTGTATATGTGTGGTCAGTTAGCTCTCTGCAAATTAGGGCACACAGTAGGCCAGAATGTGGTCTTGCTTAAATTCCTGTAGGTTTGGAGGAAGTCCATTTGACTAATATGAATTGGCCGTGGATGTATTCAGTTATAATAACCAGCATTTTTCTTGACTGCTCGAATGTGGGGTGGAAGCAAAAATAATAAATCTTGGGGCTAAAAAAGGTTAACCAAAACTGAAATTGAGTAAGAATTAGGTGGGGAAGCAATTACTGTGAGGAACTTTTTTGCCTGTGATTTTGGTCTCTTATGCAAGGATAGCCATTCTGCTTTGAAAATAGCCATTGTTGACTCTTCTACTTAGTTCTGATTCTTCATTTTTTTCTTCTTTTTTTCTTCTTTTTTTTTCTTTTTTCTTCTTTTTTCTATAAACAGTTCTGTCATGATAATTTTTTGGGCACCTTTTGGCTGTCAGATTGGTTATATCATAAATGAACAATTGTTGTGTTAGTATAAATAAGCAGGGCATGGCTTATAGAAGTGAATGTGTTTGGTACAAGGTCAGTAGCTACAGCTGGAGATGAGCTCATTGTCAGAGGTAAAAGGCTTCAAAAATGTAACATATCAACATTGCTTGGGAGTATTATACCAGCCTTGGAGTATCTGGGAATTGCCACATAGTTCAAAATCAGTTTATTCATGTGTAACAGTAACCTACTGTTGTCCTTTGTGTCCTCCCCCACTTTTTTACTCACCCCACCTTTCTACCCTCCCTATCAAAATAGAGCTCTTTGGCAGAGACACTGGACAGCAGTGGCAGTTTAGACGCACAGAGAACTGACATGATTTACACTATCGAAGATGTTCCTCCTTGGTATCTCTGCATATTTTTGGGGTTACAGGTATGTTTCAAAACAGCTATAATATTTTCTCTGTAACTTTTAAAGCTTCTTTAGCATTTTCTGTGTAGTTCATTGCATTTGTGTATGTGATAATTTTATTCTTCCCATACTCTCACACATTTGAAGAAAGTGTTAAGATAGTTTCTTCTGAAGTTGATCACAAAGATTACTGTGTTGATAATGATCTATATTATTGTTTGCTGGCTTATGCATTTGTGAGATTCACTTAAATATTTAGTCTTCTAAGCTGCTGCTAGTTAATAAGTGAGCAAATGCTAAGTGGTAAGCTTCAGAAAGTGACATTTGGCACCTCTGGAATTAAAGATGGAGAGATATAATGGTTTTAGTCCTGAAATCTTGAATATTAAAGCTTCTACTATAGTGATTTTGATTCTGCAAGCTTGATAGCATCATCCTGGACTTGTAGGCTTGCTAATAAGCGGGGCAGGCAAATTCTGCCCTCCTTGGAGTGAGAGTGTGTGCTTCCTGCTTATGAGTAGGACTGTAGTAGTGAGCTGGACCCCACTACCAGCTCAGCCACTCACTTGTGTGAGGCGGAACAGCTCATTTCATCTTCTTTCTTTCTCAAATGGTAATAATATCTGTCCCACAGGAATGCTGAGAATTTGTTAATATCTGTAAAGTATGTTGAGATCTCCAAACAAATACATTCCAAAGCATCATTTTTATTTCAGCCTTTCCTCAAGGACAGACAGTTCTGTAGGGATTATATTTTTATTGGCATTGTTGCATATGGAGATATGTTTGTTTGTTTGCTTAATGTATTGGATCAAAAAAGAATTAATGAGCACCTAGTTTTTGGTGCTTGAGAGCTTATTTGCAGCCTGGTTTGTGTGTGTGCTCTAAGTTCATTTGTAAGCTAATGGTTTTTCACATGGTTGAAAGTGAATGGGGTTATTTATCTGCTTTTCTGAGTTAGAAGCTGTTTTCAGCACAGTTACCTAGATACCTCCTCATCAAGAACAGTAGCTATGTAAATAACCTAGTTTATCCTACAGAAATAGTGATCATTAGCAACAGGCTAGTCGTAGCTCAACATGGAAGGAAAATACTTGAAGAAATGCTTAGGAGCAGGAAGTGAGAGCTTTGGTGGATAATTCAAAAGCAAAAATACCCAATGCAAAAGAAAAGATGGTCATAAATTTATTTACTTACTAATATTGGCTGCAGTATTAACAAATCATTTTTCTCTTCACAGCATTACTTAACATGTTTCAGTGGAACTATAGCAGTGCCCTTTTTGCTAGCTGATGCCATGTGTGTTGGATTTGACCAGTGGGCTACCAGCCAGTTGATTGGGACCATTTTCTTCTGTGTGGGCATCACTACATTGTTACAAACAACCTTTGGGTGCAGGTGAGAGTCGGGACTTGTTTCTAGTTGTTGAGATGGTGATAAGACTAGACATCTGTTGGGATTTCCAGGACACAGTCCGAGATCCAATTTAGTAGTCTATTTAGTAGTCTATTTAGTAGTCTATTTTCAAAGGATAAACATGAAACACAAGTTAGCAGGTCAAATACAGGGCAGTTAGGGAAAGCTTTTGGAAAGCTGCTCCCAAAAAAAGGTGGATCTGAAATCAAAGAAGGCATCCCAAGGGTAAGAAAATACAGCAGGGGCAGGGAGAGGGAAGAAGGAAGAGGGAAATCTCTGAGGACAGAGAAGGTCAAAGTGTTTCTGAGGGAAAGGAAAAATTCATACACCTTGGTAAAGAGGAACTAATTTTGATATTTTTATTAGTTTCTTGAATGATACTATATTCTGGCCAATATTTAGGCGGTTCTCTGAACTGAGTGTCTCTGGTACCTTTCAATACAAATAAATCATTTGTTTTTATTTGTTAGTTGCTCTGAGTTGCAGGTAATGATCTGAGTTGGGAAGAAATGCATATGTGTACAGGGATGCCTGTACCTCTCCTTTGGTCTGTTCTCCTTAGGAGGATGCAAGAGACCAATTCCAGGTGTTAACAAATACTTGTAAAAATCTGGTGTTGGTAAGAACAGGATGTTGTAAGTTTTATTGATATGAAGGTAAATCTTTTTTAAAAGTGTGTGTTATACAGTAAACACTGCAGAGAGATGTTTAACGTGTTTACTTAAACTTGTTGACTCTGCCTGTGAGAACCATGAATAGCTAAAACCTGCAGAGTTATTTCTGCATCTTCTTGAATAAACCAGGAGCGATAAGTAAAACCAGAAGAAAAGTGCATACTGTAAGAGTATGCCATCATATGGTTACTTGAAATGATTCATGGGTCATTTAGTTCAATTTAAGAACAATGTGAGCTGAAATCTTGCATTCCAATTGAAAATGGACAAACACCCCCCACATTTTTAAAGATTTATCTAAGAAACGGAATCTTTGGGTGGAACAGTTGTCTCAATGGGGTGCAGAAGGCAAGCCTATGGTAGATCACTTGCAGTTTTAGATCAGCTTTTCATCTAGAAATTTTCCAAATATTTCAGGTTTTCCAATGTAATCTTTAGTTGCTATTTTAGTTAGCTTTCTTGTCTTCTTTTCCTTTGGAAAAAAACTTCCCTTTATTTTTTTAATATGTCTTACTAAACTTATAAAATCGCTCCACTGTTTTGTATGAAAAGTTCATTCTGATGACAAAACAGCATAATGAAAATTGTTGAAAGAGAAGATTTTCTTTCCTCAAGGTATTTTCTTTTAGTCAAGACTACCTGCAGTTAATAATCATATTTTCTGCCTGATCGGCTCTTTGTGCTCATAGGGTAGCTTGCCTTAGCTGTAATCATAAATTTTCAAGTACCTCATCTGCAAGGAGGCAAAGGAGCAGGGTTGTGCCCTTTGGTGTTTTGAACCTCTCTTTTAATGGGAGTGATGTATATTTTTTTTCCCCATCTTCTCTTTGTGCTTTGTATAGGGAATCGAGGGATTGTTGACCTAGGTGGGAACTGGAAGATAAGGTCCTTTATTGTTCCACTCTGAGTCTCTCCTCCCTGGATTTACTGAAGTTTAAAATCTTCCAGTTTCGTAAGAAGTGCAGAGTTGCGGATGGATATGAACTCGAAGGGGAGCTTGGTTTTCCTGTGCTTCTACCAGCTTTCTTCTTCTGCCTCAAATTTCTCAGAAAAAGCTTAGGGTTTTTTTGTGCTTCCTGAGACTTGTATCTCTTCACAGAACTAAAGTTTGTCATATTTTGTTTTTTTTCCTAGCTAATCTTGGGCTCTTTCTCATTATTACTTACTATAGGGTGATTTTGGGCTCTTGCAGAAACCAGTGCGGTCCTGTCAGATTGAAATGCTCTGTTCCTTCTGTGTAATCCCACCTCTGCCCTCTGGTGTTTTTTTATACTTTTCAATGGCTTCCACTTGCACATGTTTATATACTGAAAAGGCAGTGGTGTTTGGGTCTTAAAATAAGTGAACTTGTATTTAAGGAGAAAATTTCTGTGGCTGAATGTTTTATAACTATTTAACATGTGATTCTGATTTTATGTAAGGGTGGGAATGGAATATAGCAGCAACATTCCCTAAATGAGATTTTAAAGTATTTATTGGCAAGTCTGTCAACTGTGAAGTATTTCAGCAAATAAAGCCACTATGGTTTCAAAAGGTCAAATTCCATGGTTTAAAGGTCCCTAAAGATGGATTTAGCTCAATTATGAGGAGTTGTTGTGGTCAATGTGGTACCCATACTAATTTTAGGAATTCAAGCTATTTATTAGGTTATGTAATAAGCCAAAAGATTTGGCAAGGATTCAGAGTAATTAGTGTGACTGAGACAATCAAATACAGCTTTAATATACCTAAACATTTTAGATTTGTTGCTGTGCCCATCGCTACATTGTCTAAGCATTCTTATATCTGCGTGACATGTTAAGATAACGAAGACATTTCCGGATAACTTTAACTGCATCAAAAGCTCTGTCTTCACAAAAGCTCGTGCCAAAATTGAGAAACTTCACAATTCAGACATGAAATTAAAATGATATCCCAATCATAAGCTGGTGGTACTTTACCCAGCTAGTAATGAATGCCTGGCTTAGCAATCGGAAAGGTATAGTCATGTTCCAAACTGCAGCTGTCTCTTCAGAAAGAGACTGATCATAGTGGGCTGATTTTGAGTAATAAGTTTAAAAAAAAAAAAAAAAAAAAGACTTTCTCTTTCTGCTTAGGAAAAAAAAAAAGGCAATATTTTGAGCCTACTGGCCCTTGTGGTAAATATTCCAGGTTAACTGTCACATATAAAGGTTGAGCAGATAGCTAAGCGAGACATACCAAGACCTTATTACACAATAAGTATGCAGGGTATTTTATGTGATGCAAAACTCACAATCTGGACCTAAGTCTCAGTACAACTGACTTCATCACTGGAGAATGTGTTTGCAATGTATATTTACAAAATCATTGGCGGGGGGACAGAGTACTGTGTAGGTGGGATAGAGGAGTAACAGCTTGTTACAGGTATTGCATATTTTGTCATGGGCACCAGCTTGCCCAGTTTGCTTAATGAACCTTGAAAAATAAGGTGAATCATTCACTCGTAGCTACCAACTGTTTCTTCACCAAAGATAAAGCTTTGATTTTTGCTTGAAGAATCTTAGAAGGGAATTGCATGCCAACTACTGTTAGTAACATGCTTCTGGTTTGATCTTTTTTGTGTTAAGCGTGTATAAGATTTTTTTTCCCCACAGATTTTTTTTTCCTTCTTTGTGCCTTTTCTGATCTTTATCTGAATCTGCTATAGTTAGTTCTTTTTCCTTTACTGGTGTTTGCACTGGCATCGAGGCACTTCATTGTGGCTGTAAAACAGCTATAAACACGGTGCAGTAACTAGAGCCGCATGAGCAATTAAGTGTTCCACATGTTACAGTTTGAGGTCTGCTATTAAAGAGAATCCATTAATTATTACAATCTATTAATGACGGTATTTATAGAATAGTTCAAAGTGCATCTTCTCTGTAATTAAGTAACATCTGGATATTTGTGATGTTATGCAAGCTACGGTTGATTCAATAAATATGTAGTTGGTGCTGATAGATGCTCTTTAGATCGTAAACCTTTTGGGAAGTGTAAACACCAATGCTAAGAATCTCATCTTGAAATTCTTGTAGCGTTTGTATTTATTGTTGGTAGCCACCTGGAACATCTAATCAGCTCTTATCAACGTAATGGTTATTTACACATACACTTAAAGATGAATGTATAAATGACTGTACTTCAAGTCATGCAGAGGGAAGGTATTGAGTATGCAGACTGCATACCGCTCTATCAAAGAGCGTTTTTAATGTGACGGGATGGTAAAAGCTGCACGTTCAGCAGTCTGGCTGGTACGTACGTCAGAACATGCATCTGTATCCTTGTTGTGCTGCTGAGTCAAAACTTTAAATCAGTGTCTGGTACTTGCATGCTGGTATCCAGTAATTATCTGTTATAGGCGTTGTAGTAATAACTTCATGCATGTAGCGTCTTCTCTTAGGTCTTTGATTTGTGAAGTCTTAGTATTTCTGTGTCTGTTCTTTTTAATAAGAAATTTTCATATTTCACATTTTTAATAACCCCCAATAAAGGATGGTTTTGAGGATGAGTAACCACCTAGCTGCAATTGATATCCTTACACAGTACCGTAACAGCAAGAAATGTCAGCATCTCTTCTTTCCCTTTCCACCAGGTTACCCTTGTTTCAAGCAAGTGCTTTTGCATTCTTAGCACCTGCTAGAGCAATACTCTCCCTGGAGAAGTGGAAATGTAATAATACAGGTAATTGTCGTTTATGCTTGTTCAGGTTTAAGTGACAAATGACCCAGATCACATATAGTGCAACTGCCAAACCTTCTGATATGGAAACTGGAAGTAATGAGCAGGGAATATGAAAAATTCTCTCCTTTAACATTGTTAAAGCTTTGTGCCTTGGAAAAAGATTTCTAAAAATGCCCTTGAGGAATTCTGTTTCTGGTTTTTTTTTTTTAATATAAAAAATGTTGACAAAAGAAATCTAGCAATAGCATAAAACAGTTCTTTTGTTAACAATGTAGAGAAAGGCAGAAGGATTCCTTAAATGTTCCTTTCTGGTATTTAGAAATAGTAAGTCCAATCGAATCCTTTTAAGTTGAGTAGTAGTAAGTTTGAGCAATGTTCAACATCACCTCAAGACCAGTATTTTTACCTATTTAACTCATCCCTGACAGGTTTTGCAGAGCAAACTTTGACAATATTTGGATGTTCATTTTAACTTTTTCTTTGCTAACTTCATCATCCTGAAATGTTTTGAATTTATTTACAGTGAAAATGTGCAGTAAAACTGGTTGGGAAGGGGGCTTTTTCTTTAACTTAGGTTAGAAAACTAAAGTGGAAACAGCTCTGGCAGTTTTCTTTTTAATGGGATGTGGTTATTTAGTAATAAGGCTGTGGGCAGTGCAAGACAGCAGTATAGAGACGCAGGCTGCTTGCTTCTAACTAAAGTTCTTCCCCGGGGTCCTTTTGATTCTCTAATCATTTATATTATTTATGTGTTTATACATCTCTCTTGATTCACTTACGACCATCTAATTAGTTTTCCTGATGTTTTTTCTATAGAAAACTTAGCTTTGAGCATTCATATTTTCTCACTGGGCGAGCCAGATTTAGCTAGTGGGAAATAGCATGTGGATTTCAGTGCGCAAGATGTAAAGGCAAACCATGGTGTGCTTTAGCAGTGCTAGCTGTGTTGGATATTTCTGTGTGCCAAAATGTGCCAGTATCCTAATACACACCTTGTTGAAAGAAAATACTGTCTGATAACCTTTGATGGCAAAGCAATTTTTCCACTGCTTCAGCTTTTCAGAAAGAGCCTTTGCTGCATCTTGCTCTTGAACCTTTTAACCTTCAAAAGGTGTCAGATGGGGTCTGACCACGGGTCAAGTCATCATTCAGTGAGTGACCTAAATTGGTGAACAGCAAACGTTGGAGTACTTGATTCCTAGTGTGCAGTTGAGTAATTCTCCATTCATCTGTTTATTGGAGTGGGAAAAGAATCCCTAATTGACCTTTCTTTCTGAAAGTTATGATTTTTTTCCACTTTGGTACAGTGGGTAAAATTAGTGGTTAGCTCTTGGGAAGTGTAAGCATGTTATTACTTGATTTGTAGCACTGCAGAACTTCTATTCTGTGCAAATCAAGGCTCATTTGTCAGACATAGCTTAAGGAGAGATTTATTTTGTATTAAATGATGGCAAAGTGGCCAAGGAATAAATACCTGTGTTTTTTCTTTTCTTCTTTTTGTAAGATATAACAGTTACAAATGGAACGACAGAGCTGCTTCACACTGAGCACATCTGGTATCCCAGAATACGAGAGGTAATGTAGGAGTAGCCTTTAGCTGTTGATCTGTCTGATTCCTGTTAAGTTTCTCAGCTAACCATCTGTGTGTTCTCATCTTTAAGTTGGTAATTTCTTCTTTCACTGCAATTTCTTTTGAATATATCCCTTGACTCATTTCATGGAAGTCGTCATCTTTTCAACTTGTTCATTGCTGGACAGCAAATACAAGGAGTTAGTTACCACATTCCAAAAGATGCACAGTAAAATGCACAAGCAGGATGAATACTCTTCTTGTAACACTTTGCGATTTGTGCTCACTGGTAGCAGTTCAGCTGCTACCAGACCACTTGCCTGCTGTCACTCTGTTCAGTAGGCTGTCCCAGGGAAGGTAAATATGCAGTTAGCAAATCTGTTCATCCCTAGGTGTCTTAAGTTGGAGACTATTCTGATAAGACGTTGATTCCCCCAAGAGACTTGCTGAAATATATCAAGCTCCTTCTCTACTCGCAGCACTGCAGTCTGAACTTCATCATGCTCTGCAGAGCCCAGGATGAGGGTTGTGCCCAGGCATCACACCAGAGTGGTAGATAGCGTAGTCCAAATTAAGGTGTGTGTCATGGAATTTATCTCCCATCCCGTTGCTTTGGGCTGCAAACTTTTTCTTAATTAAAAACAACCCCTCTCTCTTCCCCATGTTCAAACCATAGCTACATCCTGCCAAGAGCCCTGCAGCCAAGAGGGCTGACAGTCTCCTGAGACCACAACGCTGCTCTATACCAGCTTCTAAGGAGCACTTGTGAACAATGCAGCATACACTCTGCCCCTAGGAGCTAGGAGCATCACCTCCGTGGCGCCACCAACCCTTGCCGGTTCGATCTGAGAGCTTAAAGGTTAGCCTGGAACCCAGGTCTCCTGTCTGACAGTGTGATGTGCTATCCACACAACTACCAGACTGGCCCACTGGTCTGTTGTGTAATAGTTTTGTGGAGAAAACCATAAGTGTTATGCTTAAGCAATAAGTCACTTAAACATAATGAGCTGTTTTATGATGAAAAATTTGCTGAGTTCTTCTGTGTCACTGAATTCTTTTAACTGCAGTTTGTAATCCAGAGCAGAAAAAGAAATGTTTTGGGTTTGCTTTTAAGATTTGACTGAACTGTCTCTTTCCCATTCTTGTGTATTCAGATCCAAGGTGCTATTATCATGTCCTCCTTGATAGAAGTGGTGATCGGTTTGCTTGGCCTTCCTGGTGCCCTGTTACGATACATTGGACCTCTGACCATCACACCAACTGTTGCTCTCATCGGCCTCTCCGGTTTCCAAGCTGCTGGAGAAAGAGCAGGGAAACACTGGGGTATCGCTATGTTGTAAGTACTCCTGGGTGTTCTTGGCTTAGGCCAGGGGGTCCCAGTTGGTAAGTCGTCATGCAGGAATTTTGGAGTGCGAGGGAAAAGCCAGAGTCTGCTTGGCTGCCAAAGGTAGCATTGCAGTGCTCCCAGCATGGAGAAATACCGTGTGCAGGAATGTGAGTAGGTCTGGATAAGGCCAGCTGGCAATTGGGGAATAAGGACAGCAGCAACTCAAGAAGAAGTGGAAGGAAAGGACAATGGCTGAAAGCGAGGTGTGGAGGACAGAGAATTTTATAAAACAATAGCTGGTCTGGGAGCCATTGGCTGGGTCTAATTCAGTGCTATAGGAAAGATGATTTAGCAAAACACCAGAGAGATTAGTGAACAATTTATATTTTTATGATGCTATTGTGTATGTTTCTTATTCTGCAAATAGTGGTCCATTTGTCATTATTACTGGTTTGCTTATCTATAGCCAAGAGAAATTTGTATGATGACAGAGAGCATGTGTATTTCCATGAATGTCATCAGTTGATGAGGCATAAGTAGGCAGATTTCTGTTTAGTAGATAAAAAGGCTTTTAGAGTGAATTTCAGGGCATGATGTGTGTGCCTCTGTAGGTACAGATGCCAGGGAAATTAAAGAATTGAGATAAGTGGTATGAAAGGGAATAACTGAGAAAACTGAGATGAAGAGAAGACAAAAGCTTCCTGTGAGATGCTGTGGATAACCAGCCAAATAAGGATGGAAACCACATTTCAGGGAGAAGGAAATTGGCTGAAGCAGTTACTATATGCAATGTATAGCGACCAGCTTTGTGCTGGCTCTGAAAGCGGAAGGAATGACTTGATGAGATCAGATACTGATCTCACTAATCTGTTTGCACAGTACTTTGAACATGTAAAGTATTCTGTAAGTGCAGCTTGTGATTAAAAGGGATGTTTAATTCTCTTTTATCTCAGATGTTAGCATCATGAATATTTTTGTAATTTTATTATGTTAAGCAGCTGACCCAAAGGAACATTTTATTTTCCTGTAAAACAAATTCTGTGCAAGTTGGGACTAATGTTAAATCAATCAAGCAGACCTTTGGTGAATTGAACCTAGAAATGTGTGATTAAAGTTGACATTTTGCAGATGGAAAAAAATAAATCAATTTAGGAACAGGATTTAAATATTACCCAGTCAGTAAGTATTTCTGGCTTCTGCCACGCAAAAATTTGCACTAGATTGTGGCAAACAACTCCATAGTTGTCTAGAACCACTCAAAAGTAACTTGATCTCTACAAGATGTGGCACTTGAAATTGTCTCAACTGTTCTGATGAGACAAAAATACTGCATCGCTATCTAGCACAGCAGAATAATACCTGTGTTAGAGCTATTATCCTCTATTAGCTGCAGATGCTATTTGACAAGACTTTCCGTTTCCCCAACAGTTTTCTGACCTCATTTGTTCTGTGGGTGCCAGGCTGAAATAATTTAATCCATAAAACACATTGCATCGTGATCTGTAAAAAGGGAAATTATTCCTGAATTGGTCTTTGCCTGTATATCTGGTGAACAAAACTGTTTCTTGGGGCATTTAAAGATTTGGTAATATTTTACAGACTGGCAGTAAGCCCCCCTGCTATGTAACCAATATAATATTATTTACAGTAATATAATATTATTACATTATTTACAACTCTGTACTAAATAAATCGAAATACAAAGCCACCTGTCCTCAGGGCCAGTGGGGCAGGGTAGCTGCTTTTAGAGAGTGGAGCCCAGCTTTCCATGATGGCCTTTGGGAGAGATGCCAAAATGTTTCCTGAATGCAAGGAAAAGGCACCTTTATCATTCGACGCTAGTCAGGGGTAAAGACTATAAATGACACCCTTCTTGTGCAGAGCTCTTTGTTCCTGAAGACTGAGGGAGAATAAAGCTCTGTTTTGTTTCTTACAGACTGAAACTGATCTTGGACAGAAAAGGGAGGGAAGCTTAAAATCCGACTTTTTTTTAAGTCAGCTGATAAAAACATAATCTCAAATTTCAGAAAAGCTTTGCCTCTTCAGACAGCTTGACTCTTTGTGTAGCCTTTTTATAGCAAAACTGGTTTTGGCTATTTCAGAATTGAGCAACCTGCCCTGGCTTTTTATTTTTCATTGCACTGGATACTTATTTTAGCTGTAGAGTTGAATTAATTTTTAACATATAGAGGAGCTTAACAGTTTTGACAAGGAGGGAAGATGCATAATACTTGAGGCATCTAAAAACTGTAATAAACTGGGTTACTGGTGAACTGCAATTGAATGGAATCTTGGTTTTTTGGGGCTCTATTCTGCTTGATTTACAGCTGTTTAGTGAAAGATGCATATACAAAAAAAATTGGGATTCTTAAGAACTGAAGAAAGAATTTCCCTTGACAGAAGTTTTTCAAGTGCTTCGGAG